TTTGCTTCTTCCTCGATGATCAACTTCCTATCTTGGGGTCCTAACATCTTCCACAGTTCTGAGTCGATCCCCTCCGGACGCTTTGAACCTTTATAGTTACGTACAATCCGGTGACCATCCCAATGATGTCCATCTGGAATAATTTCACCTTTGGGGGTCAATTTGAGATCTGGAAATACGGGCGCTTCGGGTGCATCAGGCTCGACATCGCTGTCGGCTGGTAGAGGCGTTCCTGGCTCGTATTCGTACTCATCTTGTGGCGGATGCAAACTGGACTCAAGAGGCACAGCTTTGGGTGTCTGCGGAATGACCTGGTCCTCGAGGCGATCGGCTTTGGGTGCTTTCGAGTCAATCAGAGCTTTCAAAGGAAAGATGAAACCCTCGGATGGCAATTCCAACCTCTTTGTTCTTTGGATTGTCAGTGCACCCCAGTTGACATGATAATCTGCGGCTTCCAACTTGGCAACTAAGTATTCACCCTTCCAATCATGACCTGGTTGGATGTAATACCCAAGGAAAATTCCTTCATTTGCTGTTGGGGAGAGCTTACCTGATGTGTTATCCAACCTCTTGGGGTTATTCCAGAACAACACTTTGGCACCAAATGGAATGTGCATTGCAGGGAACTCTTCACCAAACCTGAGTTGCCACGGGGATTCACTGCCGTCAAGCTGGGGGCTTGCGTTGATCGCGGTCGCGTGATGCTGCATGGCCAATGGCCACATCTTCAAAGGAAGTCCTGATTGCAACAAGTTGCTCCGGGCACCTTCCAACATCTGACGAACTTCGCGCTCAGCAAAAAAAAGACTTTGATGAATCTACATATTCAATGGAAGTTTGGTGTCTGTAACCCAAATCCTTGATGGCCCTGATCAATTCTGGGGAATTGTCAGTGTACACAACTTGAATGTCATCCTTTGATCCAATGAAGTGATTCAAACCATCAACACAGCTTTGTGAGTCCTTGGACTGGCTAGGGTAGACATACCGATATTGGGTGTGCAGATCTTTCAACACCAATGCAACTTGCTCCCCCCTGAAACCCTCTTCTACATTTTTCTTGATGATGACATGATCCCCAATGATGTGGTCACCAAACACTTCAGTTTCGATTCTCTTCTGACCACCCTTCTTTCGTGCCTGAGGTGCCATCATCCTTGCTCGTTGGCAGGTTCTGCAAAAGGGGTTCTTGGGGAAATGCGTGTACTGATGTTGGGTACTTACAGCTTCAGCCAGCAAATCCTCAGTCTTGCGGCTTCGGATGTACTCCTGCTGAGCGTCATCCTCCACCAGCTCGTCCAATTGCTCTTCATCTTGGGCTTCGTCCCGTTTGGCTTTTGAGCTCGACCGTGAGGTCGGCATTGCAAACAACTTTCTGAGGTGCTTATCCTTTTGAAATTGATCTTTGGGATAAACCTTGCAACTATCATCCAAGACTGGGACATGACCTTCGATCTTGAGCTGGACGACCTTGTCATCTGGACGGACTAGGATTGGTTTGCCATTGGCAGGCCATACGAAACTGTAACCCTGATCTACACATCTTGTTCCTACGGAGAGCACAGCTGGGGTATGATCAAGTACATACGGATGCACAGGATCTGGCAATGCGGACAACTTGACGTCAGCAACCTCATTTGCCTCGGTCGAACCATTGGCTGTGACTAAGGAAATCGGATGCTCGGCTGCACGGCAGTTCTTGGCGCTAACATCCCTCAACATACCCTTGGACACAAGATCGGATTCACTACCTGAGTCGACAAGCCAACTAACGCCGGCCTTTGGCGCAGCTGTGGCAATTGACGGGAAACGACCAATGTCTCTAAGAGCTTTGGGACCGCTGATGAACCTGCACTCTTTGCATGTGATGTCACGTGTGTCCTCATTCCAACAACAAAACCCACAACTAGGTGCAACATCTGAATCATGAAGTTTCACAGTTTCTTGAAGCTGTCTTGCACGAACCTGAGCCTCATGTTGTTCAACCTTGGATGAAACTGGAACATCTTCAGCTGTCTTGTACACCTTAGTGAACTCTCTTGGACGGTGCTTGACTGGGACTTGACGACCAACCGCTTTCACCTCGATCACATGTGGGGCCTTTCGGAATCTAAGACGCTTCATGCTGACACTTGACTCATCAGAGCACGAAGTTGCCTTCGGCTGTTTTCGGACGATGCATGCAAACTTCTGGATCAGGCATGGAGCGGCTGTGGAATCCTTGCTCTTCTTCTTGGGAGCGGGTGAATTGGCCCTTTTGGTGTCTTTGGTGGCGGCAGCGGCTTTGTCATCATGCGAAAAAAACATTTGTCACCACGTCTGCACTTTCCCTGGGCATGATAGATACATGGGGTTTTGGCCATTTCTTCCTTGGACATCTTCTTCCCCTTATCATCTTTATTGCCCTTTGATGGTGAACGTGTTTTGGTTCTTCTGGGTGATTGAGTTCGAGATTTGTCATCTTTGACGTGCTTGAATGGACACTTCTTCCCCTTATCACAGGTACCCTTTTGGAACTTATAGCAAATCTTGTCACCTTTGCCACCTCGTTCCTGCGATCTACCACGACTTGGAGAGCCCTTTCGGCCACCGCGACCATCGCCTTTGGCAGGTGCGGCCTTTGTGTCCTTGATCCCAGCCTTGTTCTTCTCCGCGATGCGGTTCCTGTTCTCCCTCAATCGTTCACGATCGATCAAGTTCTTCATGGATTGGTGAAGAAAACTATAAGACTTTTCATGGGATTTCTCATGAGCACGGTCAAACATCTCGATGTCATATTTCAGCAACTGACTTGGTCGGATCTGCCTCAACAAGATGTCCCTTAACACAGCATCATCAGGGGTGACAGCCATGCCAGCTAGGGTAGCATCCCATTTGTTGATGAATCTTCGGAGATCCTGGACAGTATCGCCTACTTTGACAACACCCAAAAGATCTTCTACTCTGTAAAGGCTACCTGCTTCTTCTGATGTCTTGAAGTAGTCCTCAAACATGAGCAGAACATACCTTCCCCTGACCTGGATGCCTTTTCGGGATTGCTGCTCCTTGAAATTCAAGATCCTAGTTGCGAGGTCCCCTCCGGCTGAGCGCGTGAGCGCTGCTGATAACTTTGTATCCAGCGTGAGGAACTTTCCAGGATCTTGGAGTTTCTTCTCCAACTGCTCTCTGGTGCACTCTTGATCGTACACCTCATTGAGCCAGAGCCACGCCTCATCCGGGCGATCTGAACAGCTTTTCACTTCATCTCTGACATGATTCTTCCAAGTCCTATACGACTCCGGAGCAGGCATGTTGTTCAGCTTGATGATCTCGGCCTCCTTAGTTTTTGGCTTATCCTTTTCTTCCCTTTGGGTTAAGGCTTTCACCAATTCAATAAGATCTGAGGGACCCATCACTTGCTGTTGCTTGGTTACGCTCTTAGGGGAGTCGTTTGGGGGAGTTTTGATAGCTTCAGTGGGAGTGAAAAACCCTGACTGCGTTGGCAATTGGGGCTGGTCGTTGCCGACAGCCGGCTTTTGCTTGGGACTGCCACCTTTGAGCAGCTCATCCAACTTGGCCTTTGCTTCCTGTGCCAACACTGCAGGCGTTTTCAACTCATGAATCGGCTCATCACTGCCTTTGGCAGCCTGTGCATCGGATGCTTTGGGAGTGGCAATATTGAAGTGGGGCACGCTAGTGGTAGCGGCCGGCTCGGCGTTCTGGACGGATGCTTTCGGAACGGAGGCATGCTGCGCTTTGGCAACATGCTTTAACTGCTCCTGAAGGTCATCGATTTGGTCCTGAAGGCTAAGGTTCTGAGCCGCTGCCTCGTTGATCTTGTCGGCCATCTCCTTCTTGTAGTTCTCGAATTCGGTCCTCAAACTGATGAACCTGGCCTGATCAATTGCAGCCTGATCTTCATATTGCTTCTTTGTGGCAGCTATGGCATTCTTTGCATGTTCAACTGTCTGTGCATAGGAAGCTTCGAATTCACTAGTGATACGTTGCCTTTCCTCTGCAATTTTCTGATCATGCTTTGTGTTTGCCTCTGCCTTAACATCCTCTATTCTTTTGTCATGCGATGCCTGAGCCTGATTCAACCTGACCTCCATCTCATCGCCTCGTTTCCTTTCCTCGTTGACGGCACTAATGGCCTTACCTTCAACCTCCTGCAGCCTTTGCTCATACTCCTGCTCTTGCATTACGAGTCTACTTGACCATTCGTTTCGAATTGAGTCAACTACTCCAAGCATTATCTGAAGGTGCCTCTGTTCAGCTTCCCTCATGACTTGCAGGGTATTCCCACTAGTGATCTGGGACAGGTTGTTTTGTATGAAGGTAAAGTACGCTACAACGGGTTGGAACATTGTCTCGTCGTCCATCGGCTCGGGGTTGCCCCCGGCCACATTGGGCACAGCGATAGCCGATGGACCTGACCCTGGAACGGCGAGAGGATGGTCAATTGGGGTCCCCATAGCAAAGTAGTGAGACTACGGCTGATAACCTGTATTTTACAAGGTCAGCCAACAATGTTACAATAACAATGGGGCTAAACCGCAATAAGCCGCTAAGCTCCTGATCCTTTTGAACCAACGCTACAGAGTAGTACGATGACATATGATACATGGTTTTACTGCAGGAGTTTTTACAATATATCATATATCTTTGAACATCTTTGGAGCTACCAACACTGGTCAAATATAATCCCTTCCCCATGATATCCCCTGTAGTGGATCTATTCATATTTTGGTGACCCATGTGGGCTATTGACTATTAGGAGAAAATATGATTTTCCACTTTCATCTGGACATAGCTGTCACTATTCGATCCTCCTTTTTTGTTGGTTAATGGGCAGTTCCACAATCATTTCCGGTTATATCACATATATTTCCACAATAATCTGCATGGCAACTGGCAATTTTTCACCATTTTGGCTCATGAAAGCACATGAAACCACCATCCTTTACGATTTTTTGAGGTCCCTCAAGCATCTCAAGCTCAAAACGTGGCCCAGGGGGGGCCTCCAAATGCCGTTGGAGCAAGGCATGCCTTCCCCAGGCCCACAAACACAAACGCGCTTGGGAATAGGCGGCTTCCTGGCGGTGATGTATTGATTAATCTACCCATGATTGGGATATTGATGGGATTTTTGATGGGATATTACTTGAATGGTGGTTACTGGATGTTGTGAAAATTCGGATTTTACCATGGGAGACATCTAACTTACCATCAAACATGGGGATTTTTGTTGGGACATGAATCATCAAAGTACTGATCATTTGGCAGCTGAAACCCCATCTAAAAGTTTCCATGTAACCCCAAAATCATGCAAACAGTCGATGGCAAATGCAGTTTATCCATTGGAATATCCCACCCTGCAATGCAATTTGTGGAGAACTTATGATTTTGAAAACCGCTTCAACAGATTAACATATATTAAATATCATTAAATCCTTATAATTCAATATAATCCATATTAAATCCATCATGATCGCCACATATCGCCATTTAAAGTGATCTACGGGGACACCGTTAGCACCGCACTGTTCTGTCCTGGGTGACACGATTGGAAATCCACAAGACCACCCGCAGCTTCTCCTGCCTGGGCTGCATTTTTTGCCCGCCCTGCCCCCCCCCCTCGCCAAAGAATGCAGTGATAAAGGACACAGGCATACACCAGCGGTCACCAGCAACATCATCAGGTGCATGGAACCATCAGCCAAAACTACACTGGTATCACATGTGGAAGTGCCTGCCTGCCAAATCTCATGTTACAAGATGTTACCATCTGGGCTCCCTGACCGTCCCGCAGCAATCTGAGCCAAGCCAGAGGCTTGTTGAATGGCATTCCTGGTGGCTTTCAAAAGCTTGGTGCCAGGGCTGCTAGGGTTGTCATTTTCATGACGGATTCTTGTGAACTTCAACCATCAACTCCACCTCATACCTTATCCCAACCTCGCACATCACTTGAAATATGGTGCCCCAAATCGATTTGTACTGGACAACTTTCATACTTTGAGTCCCCCCAAAAAACTTCAATGCCGCCCAGTGCCCTGTTTGACTTTGAAATGGTTGTGAGATGTTGTGAGTCCTATCAGTCATCATTCGACCAGCCAACTGCTTCTGCAATGTGGAGACGCGGTCCTTAAGGGTCTTGGGGAAGAAGTGGTAGACAGTTCGTGGTTTATCGAAATATTCTCTGGGATAAAACGCTGAAATGATCAGAAATGGTGGTAAACAATTCGTGATTCTTGCAGAACCTTTCAGCTTGAGTATCCAAAGATATTCAAAGAATGAGGAACATGAGTTTCCAAATGTTTCTATACTCTGAGCATCAATTCGACCAAGGGTCTTCTGAAGACTGCAGTGCCTGGAACTCAGGGAAGTCACGCTTAGGTGAACCATGGTGAACCATCCCCACTTGGCCATGGCCAATGTTGACCTATGGATACCTATAGTGGACCTATAACATCTCGTACAACTTACCCTCTGGTAGACTAACATAACTATGGAAAATTACCATTTTAAATGGGAAAATCAACTATAAATGGCCATTTTCAATAGCAAACTGTTAGTTTACCAGAGGGTAACGGACTCTTGTTGTGTGCCACATCGTTGCCAAGTGGCTCGGTGGAGTTTGGCATTCTCTAGCCTCATGGAGTCCATGGCCTCCTGAGTGACACAGTGAGGTGATCTTTCCAGTTTTCCTATGTGTTTGGACGTTTTTCTGGGGTTGGAACTTGGAACAGCCAAAAAACCTCCAGGAAAACTCCAGGAAAAACTTGCGCCCTGCAGAATTGCCACAAGCATTGCTAGTTCTGCAACTCGACAGCTTGGAACCGGCCGACCCCAGTTTTTCACAAAGCCCGGTTTGCTAAATCATTTTGAGGCTATGGCTATCCCGGTTATCCCCCAAAAGGTGACGGCTCAAATGGGCCAGCCTTTTTTCAGTTGGCATCTGACCCAACGGTCAGAGCATCTTCATACAGAAAATCGGTCATCTCATGCATGGTTCTTTAAGTTGTTTATGAGGATGGAAAACTATACGTTGAATCTTTGAAACCACCAAAGCAGTTCATTTTCTAAACTACAATGATGATGATGATCTGATTGTACTGGAACAGGCTAAAACTACAAAAGCCACCAGCCCTTTCCTTCAACATCTCCATCTCTTCTGCATCCATGGCTGCCATTGAAGGGCCACCTGGACCACAAAAAAAACATCCAACAGGTGCCACGGCTAGAGAAAACTGGAGCAAGAGCCAATCCCTGTAAACAAATTTGAGGGTGCGTCTGGCCAAACAGTATGTGTTAACTGTTTAATTATTCATATAAATATATGGTCATATATGCATGAAATATGAACAATAAACCTACATCAATATCTACAATATCATTCATGGGGGCTCTCCCAAATGATGTTCATAGTAGATATCTAAGATATCTATATCTAAGCGTTCCATTGCGAACCTCTGCTGGCGGCAGCTATCACGTAGCTGTTGTTGCCATCTCAAAGCAGTGCGTCCGATGCATCTGCGGTGCACAAAACGCGACGGGTGACCGCTGTGCGCGGTGCCAAACGTTTGATGCAAACATGTTTGGCAAAGACATGAAACTTATGAAATAACTGTGCAAACAATGGATGTGTCAAGCACTTTCGCTGTCTGATACCAAAGCTTATACTTAAAACATCTTGTACCATGTTTCAATGACAGAATCTAAGTCGTTGCCATTCGTTGCCGCTTTTAGCAACACAACTCTTGATCAGCGCTCGCAGTGAGCAAGGGAATCAACCCTAAGCACCTCTGAACAGCAAAAACATGCCAAAACGCTGGTAAAGCAAAGCAGCATCGCTGGACGTTCAACTCCCCCATTTGCAAAAAACGTCGGACTTTTCTATGGGCCCAAGATGGTGCAATATCCCAATTCTGTCCGCACCATTTTCGACGACGTTAGCAACCACGAATCTGGCTGTGGTCGGCCACACGTGGTAGGCCAGGCGTGCCCTACGCTAAACACAGCAACATGATTATGTGCTCATACATCTTCAGAATCTACGACGAACAACATGAGTAAACAACAATAATGGCCATGGAGTTCCGGTGGTGACTGTCCTAGCAAGTAGCCAGTAAGATCACAGAGCATTTCGTACCTCTGAATGAACTCCGAAACACATAGGCCTGGAACAACAGAAACAAACATAAATCATAAAAACCTGCAAGCATTGACATAGCCAATCAACTACCAAAAACATCCAAAAACAAACTTTTCAAAAGAAACCAAACACTTTCATATAGACACATTTGGTAGGACCAGAAGTCTTTGACCCGCTCAGTTTCCAGGACGATCCTTGGTGATGTGATGCCAATCCATGCAATCCATGTCATTCTGGGGACGGCCTGACACGTTCGAATTTTCCAATGTACAGTCGCCAACTTTGGGCGAAACTTCGGGCAAACCCGAGGAAATGAGCCTTCTTTGCATCCATCTCAGTTATCATGACCATCAACACATTCACAATCAACTCATTCACAAAGTTTCTATCAAACATATTTTCAAGTCTTTCCATCAAAAATCGAAATTCCAAATCAGACATATTTCATGACCATTCATGACCATTCATGATCATTCATGACCATTCATGATCATTCATGACCATTCGTGATCATTCATGACCATTCATGACCATTCATGATCATTTATGATCATATGATTATCCATGATCAATTATGACCATTCATGACCATTCATGATCATTCATGAATATTCATGACCATTCAAGATCATTCATGACCATTCATTAGCATTCATGATCATATGATTATCCATGATCAATAATGACCATTCATGACCATTCATGATGATTCATGAATATTCATGACCATTCATGATCATTCATGACCATTCGTGATCATACGATTATCCATGATCAATTATGACCATTCATGACTATTCATGATCTTTCATGAATATTCATGACCATTCATGATCATTCATGACCATTCATTAGCATTCACAATCATATGATTATCCATGATCAATTATGACCATTCATGACCATTCATGATCATTCATGAATATTCATGACCATTCATGATCATTCATGACCATTCATTAGCATTCATGACCATTCATGATCATTCATGATCATATGATTATCCATGATCAATTATGACCATTCATGAACATTCATGATCATTAATGAACATTCATTAGCATTCATGATCATATGATTATCCATGATCAATTATGACCATTCATGATCATTCATGATCATTCATGACCATTCATGACCATTCATGATCAATCATGACCATTCATTAGCATTCATGATGATATGATCATCCATGATCAATAATGACCATTCATGACCACTCATGATGATTCATGAATATTCATGACCATTCATGAACATTCATTAGCATTCACAATCATATGATTATCCATGATCAATTATGACCATTCATGGCCATTCATGATCATTCATGACCATTCATGACCATTCATAATCATTCATGGCCATTCATGACCATTCATGATCATTTATGATCATATGATTATCCATGATCAATTATGACCATTCATGACCATTCATGATCATTCATGAATATTCATGACCATTCAAGATCATTCATGACCATTCATTAGCATTCATGATCATATGATTATCCATGATCAATTATGACCATTCATGACCATTCATGATGATTCATGAATATTCATGACCATTCAACATCATTCATGATCATATGATTATCCATGATCAATTATGACCATTCATGACCATTCATGATGATTCATGAATATTCATGACCATTCATGACCATTCATGATCATATGATTATCCATGATCAATTATGACCATTCATGACCATTCATGATGATTCATGAATATTCATGACCATTCATGATCATATGATTATCCATGATCAATTATGACCATTCATGACCATTCATGATGATTCATGAATATTCATGACCATTCATGACAATTCATGATCATTCATGATTATCCATGATTAATTATATGGCCTGTAGATCATTCATTAGATATTGAAATCGACTTTCAGTTTCCCCAGGCCATCTACACCCCAGGCCTACTGGGCCCCAGCAACGGCGCCCGCTCCCGCGCCCGGTCCCCAGCGACGGTGTCGGGCACGGCGCGCACGGCGCGGACGCGCAGGCGCCGCGGGTCGATGCCGGCGGCCTTCGCGGCGGCCTCGATGAACTGAGCCGAGAAGGTGTCCTGCATAGTATGATAGGGATTTATAATCGGGATATTATGATTAATAATAAATATAATAGGGATATGATTTATAATATTTATAATAGGGATATGATTAATAATAATTATTGATAAACAGTATTGTTAATAATTATACCATCTGATATACCATCTGGTTATGACTAACATAGCCATGGAAAATCCCTAAAATAAATGGAGGTTTCTAGCTGGGAAAATCATCTATAAAATGGGCCATGGCTTCCATGGCTATGTTAAATAACCAGAGGGTAGAAACTATGGAGAAAACATGGGAAAATGATGGACAATGGTGGATAGCATGGGGGAAAATTATAGGGGAAACTATGGAGAAAATGAATGAACGTGATGGAAAACTATGGGGTAAACCATCTGCAAAACCTAAGTTTTTTTTTCCCCGAAACTTGGAATTCATGGATGAAAAACGGGATAAGAAATTACGAGACAGCAACATTATAACATTTAACTGATTGAAAGAACAAATTTATATAGTTGATGGGTTTATGGTGGATATAGCTATAATTGTGTTTTTCATATCAATAACTGGGGGGAGGTACCACGTTGTGGGTCAAGTGGATCATGGGGGATATATGGGAATCAACTAGGACTTTTCTAAATGGTGTTTTGATCAACAAAAGAGGGATGCAATCAGCAAAAACTGGGATTGAGGTGGGGAGAGAACAAAATTTCAAACCAGTAGGGCGTAAACACCAACAAGTTTTTGTTTTGGATGAACACACTTTGAGACACTACAACGAGCAAGACTACAAGATATCCCGTAGCCAAGCTACTGGGATCAACCGATTTAAGGCGGCGGTCACGGCATGAAACAACTAAGAGATCAACATATCTAAACTAAACCCAACTGGAATGCGAAATTCAGTGCACTTGCTAATGGCTGCTAACGTCCTACTTGATTTCGGTTGGTTGCAGGTTCTTTGCCTATGAAAAATGTTCCATCCCTCCCAAGGTCCGGGTCAGAGATCTCCGAGAGGGGCTGCTTGATTTGAATCGATGCCACCTTGTCATTGCAACACGAGAACAACTTTCCAGAAAGGGCGTCACGCCAAACAATGGTTCTCTAAGAAAAGGTTGTCATGGTCCCAGTTGAGCTCATAGAAGACCATGTAACATCACATTGTTCAGATGTCTGGAGAGAAATGACTACAAACAAACAAACGGGCCTCACCCAGAATCGGATGTTTGTATTAACCTACAACTATATGGGAAACCATTCTGGTTGTAGCACGTATCCCAAATTTCAACCAACCAATAAGAAAATCAGTGTTTACCAATCATGATTTCCCCAAAATCTATTGGGGGGTTCCAATGGGTTTCATGTTAAGTTCAAGGGCTACTGGCTATATGTTGTAACAGCCGTGGATCACCATCCCCTTGGCCTGACTGGCTTTCGGTTTCGACGTTTTGGGGTCCAAAAACGTGGCTTCCTTTGGCCATGCTGGCGAATTCCCCGGCTCACCTCGGATGAAACAAAGTCCACCCATTTTTTTTGAAAGTGATGTGGTCCAAAATGGGTGAAGCATGGTTTTTTTCCACCATGAACAAGTGGATTGTTATATGTTATTATGCGGCTTAACCATCAAATCTGGAGATTGAGATGGGTTCGAATCAAAATCAAATGTCTGATTGTTCTGATTGTAGGCCGATACGCATGTCCAGATTTATGCCTCGTCTGGATACTCCACATGCAGCCTTCATGTCAAAGAACTTCCTATTGACTACGTGTGAGCACTCCAAAGTCTCCAAAGATTCTACGTACAAACTCGGCTTGGAAGCAGACTCACATCCTTTCAAATAGAAACAAGATGCGGCCCACGAACCCGAATGCAGTCACGTAAAGCACTTTTGTGAAATAAGTTATAGCACTGAAAAGTTTTGTACTTTTTCCCCTGTTACCGTACCAGTGCACTGTAGACTGTGGAATGGGGTGGAATGCAAAGTGTGGAGTGTGAAGAAAGTGTAGAGTTGAGTGGGGAATGTCGTGTGTAGAGTGTGGAGTGGGGATTGTGGAGTGTGGCGTGTAAGGTGTAAAGTATAAAGTGTGGGGTGGAAAGTGTGAAGTGTAGAGTGTTAAGTCCAAAGTGTAAAGTGGAAATTGTAAAGTGTAGAGTGTGGAGTGTAAAGTGTAGAGTGTAGAGTGCGGAGTGCAAAGTGTAGAGTGTAGAGTGTGGAGTGTGCAGAGTAAAGTGTAGAGTGTAGAGTGTGGAGTGCAACGTTTAGACTGTAAAGCTTGGAGTGCGGGGTGCAAAATGTGTAGAGTGTGGAGTGCAGAGTGTAAATTGTGGAGAGTAAAGTATAGAGTGTGAAGAGTAAAGTGTAAAGTGCGGAGTGTGGTGGAGTGTAGAAGTGTACTGTGTAGAGGGTGGAGTGCGGAGTGTAAAGTGTAAAGTGTAAAGTGCAATGTGGAGAGTGTAGAGTGTGAAGTGTAAAGTGCGGAGTGTAAAGTGTAAAGTGTGGAGTACGGAGTGTAAAGTGTAGCGTGTGGAGTGTGGAGTGTAAAGTGTAGAGTGTGGACTGCTAAGTGACAAGTAAAAAGTGTGGAGTGTGGAGTGTAAACTGTAGAGTGTGGAGTGTCAAAGGTAAATTGACAAGTGTAAAGTGGGGTGTGTAAAGTGTAAAGTGTAGAGTGTAGAGTGTGGAATGTAAAGTGTGGAGTGTAAAGTGAAAAGTGTGGAGTGTGGAGAGTAAAGTGTCAAGTGTGGAGTGTAAAGTGTAAAGTGTGGAGTGTCGAAATACTGCGCCTGCCACGCAAAAAAGCATTCCATACACGGCGGATCTGAACCAAATGCTGCGCCTGCCACGCAAAATGACGATGGAGGTCTCCAAAGTGCTGCGCCTGCCACAAAAAATGCAACTCATCTTCTGAAAAGGACGCAAAAGTATTGCGCCTGCCACACAAAATGACTTTCGACACGTTTGCAGACACATGAGAATGTCACGAAGTGCCACGCCTGCCACGCAAAACCACATTACAACTTGCTTTGACACCGTGAGCCGAACCAGGATAGGTTTTGCAACTTCCTCCATAGACACGGCGAGGCCAGAGGAAAAACAGAGACTCGAGACGAGACACGTTGGAGCATCAAAACAAGCATTTCGTGCGAGACTTCCTCCAACTCTCACACTGTGTAGCTTCAAAATCGACTTTTTCCTACGAGTTTTCTTATGAACCTCAAAATTTGCTACCTCAAAATCGATGTTTCGTGCGAGGCTTCCGTCAATTTTCAGCACATCTCACAAACTGCCACGCCTGCCACGCAATTTGCACCGTGTCGCCACTTGACGCAGCCCTGACAATGCGATTCGTAAAAATACGCGACGCGACACGTCTAAAGTGCTGTGCCTGCCACGCGAAATGACGATGGAGGTTGCCAAAGTGCCGCGCCTGCCACGAAAACTGCAACTCAAAGCGATGCGAATATATTGCACCTGCCACACAAAACGACTTTTGACACGTTATGAAACAGGTTGGAATGTCACAAAGTGCCACGCCTGCCACGCGAAACGAGGCTACGCGACGTCTGAAACCTCCAAAAGTGACCACTGTTGCAAGACTCGCCGCCATAGGCACGGCCATAGCAACCTCACGCGGACGGTTGCGAACGGTTGCGAACGGTTGCGGACGTAAACGCAACGTCGAGCGAACACACCCTCAACCCCCAGACCCCCAGAGTGAAAGGGGAACCCTTGCGACAAATTCGGGATGATCTTCCGACAGAAGGTTGAACATAATAAACGTATCACAAAATAATCATCTCCCAAATATGTATGGGCTATGTACCGGAAATACGTTTTGTTGTGTATGAGTCAAAGATTCATGAACCATAGGATGCTTTATAAATTGGCAATTGGAGTAAGACCATCCGGCATTTAACCACATGCACCATGTGGGGGAATAAAGCACAATGCGCCTAGAAAAGGTCTAGGATGGTAGGTCTACTGTGCAAGACATTACAAGTTGAGTATCCGGCATGTCGGGGTGTCTGAAAATCAGATACTTTGAGACTTGATAGTTCATCATCATTTTCTGGGCAGCAACTGCTCATCTTGGGAATATGCTTCATTTTTCAACAAACCCAACTAATGGGTGAATTCAAAGTCATTCCCCGTCACAATCTTCATCCATCCCATTGAAGAGCAATCCCACAGTTGGTAGGCATGTCCCACCGAATCATACGAAAATGTTTAGGAAAGTTGGATCACCATTTGTCACGATTTTTGCGGGTAAAACTGCCATTTAACATCATTTTCAATGGTAAAAGAAAACGATTTTCACGGTTTTTCCATGGTAAAACCAGCCATTTTCGATCCCAGCTGCTCCGCTTGCCCCAGACCTCTGCGCCAGTGGGGGGCCGGGGCTTCTCGGGTCGTTGGGCGCTGCGCTTGCGCGACTGGCGAGCCTGGAAGGCGTCGGCCACACGCTTGGTGTGGTCCTGGAACGGCCAGGGAAGAGTGGGGACAGTAATAACCAGACAGTAGCAATCATTATCCCTGTTATTATCTGATATTTCAAAAAAGATTGCAATGTTAGAACAAATGTGAACATGTTTTAACAGCTGGATACGAATAGTGTTAATTATTATCCAGTTGGAAAATAATCCTGATAAAAACAGTAACAATGGTAACCCAGGTGTTCGTGCTATTCCATGTCTTATTCCAGTACAATAAGGGGTCTATTGTTTCCCCATTAAGGGAAATGTGTTGTCCCATCAATCTGGAGATGTCTTACTTTATATAATTCCATAGTAGGAAACTATTATCAATGATATAACAATGGGACATCTATTGCCCGACTAAATGGGTTTAACGCCCAATTATAACTTGTAAATCTATTAATAGCCTATTATTATCCATTCGTATCCCGTTATTACCCAAAATCACCAGTGGCACCCCTTATTAACCCTTTAATCATGGTACAATGTGGTAAATCAAGAAAGCAATTCCCATGAATACCAACAATGAATTCCTGTTCATACCCAGTTTCGAACCAGTGTCTGGGATTTTCGTGGTGAAATTCACTCATGCCCCCCTACCAATGCTAATGAGGGTCTAACTTTTTCACTAGGCCATACGCAAATTGGCTTCACAAAGCCACCCACTCTGGTGATATGGCCCAAGATGAATGGTCACCACTTTCTTCTATTGGCAAATGGCTGGCAGCGACTTACCTGTAAACAAATGTGGGTTTCCTTTTTTCCGATGTTTGCTGACTATCCATCACATAAGTGATTAGTGAGCGATGCAGCCAGTTCTCCACCAAACTGCCACTTTCCTTTCCTTGGGGAAACCACCAAATTGCCAACTTCCTTTGGTTCGATGCTGGTTAAATCTCTATTTATTGCTGCTTATACTCATACCCTCGTGATTTCTTGGTAGGGACCCTTTTTTTTGGTTGTTTGGGGCTCGCTCGGTAAAGCCACCGCCCACCCACCAAACACACTGAAAACGGCGTCCTTACACCTCGTGCTGCGCGCTCGTAGATTCCGCAGGGCATCTTCAATGGGCAAATCCCAAAACCTTGTGTGGTGCAAAAATGGGCTGCCCACTGGGAATCCGATCTGGCAATGGGAAATCCATGAAAATCAGAACGTGCAAAAGGTATACCCTCTGGCAAATAAACATAGCTATGGAAAATTGCCCATCTGTAAATGGTTTATCTATTCAGTGTGACGATTTTCTATAGCTATGTTGTTGTGTTAATTTACCAACATGTAACTCACCTAGAAAGGCATAATTGCGAGAGCGTATGTCCAAGGTTTCAACAACAAGATGATTGCCAAGCATCATGACATGACCTGGGGCCCCAGAGATAATATGTTGAAGCAAATCCCCCAACTAGTTTTGCAAGAGCCATCCCCTTCCGATTTTTTGAGGCTGAAGCTTCTCCGAACATAATCTTCCAATCAACAATTTTTGGGCACAACACCATTTCCATCATGCCACTGAAAAAACTGTTCGACAGACTTCGCAGCCACTGTAGAGCCATGCTAGCAACTGAGGTTTTGCCAAGGAATGGTCCAATGATGGGGAAGCAAATCCTGGAGTTCCCCTTTGATTTGCGTTTAGTTTGGGAATTCATCAAAATCGCCGGAAAACTGAGCATCTTCCAAGGCCTTGCGCGTAGATCGCCTCAGATCACGTGACATCGGTGGCCAATCCGTGGGGGTGTTGCTCTGCTTTCCTAACTGCAGAGAAAACATGACGCGTCACTTGTCACTCTTTCTTCAGGTTATAGGGTCCTACAACAATTTCAGTCAATATTCAAATCCAAATCCCATCAAATCCCAATCAATATTCAACATCATTCCATGCTTCCATCAAAATTGTCAGTCATTAAAATAGCCCCACCGCGTCAACCACAACATAATAATATCATGGGCTGCTTCCTCCAAGCAGCTCCAGTTCAATACGATCCTCCTCCGTCTTGGGCCTTGCAAGCGCCTTGGCCGCCGGCACCGCCGCTGCCTTGGACGGCACCGCGGATGACGCTGGTGCCTTGGAGGGGGCCGCGGGGCGCGCCGGCTGGAAGACAACACCTGCGCCAGGGGCAGCAAATCCCAAAATGGTCCCATGAAAAAAGCGAACTCTGTAGCAGCCAGGCCTTGACTCACATCCGCAGCCTTGGAGGAAGCAGCTTTTGAGTCCTTCAAGATGTGGTGGAAACAATGGGTGCCTTGCTGTGGTTGTTGATAACTGACTGCTCACCTTGAGTCGTAAAACAAATCTAGCGACACACTGAAAAGGAGACTATGAATCTAGGAACAGAAAACATATCTTGAAGAAGCTACATCACATGCAAATCCAATGCAATCCGCCCTCTGGTTGGCTTCATTCATGTTTTTTTTTTCTGTTTGCCGGTTGAATTTCCCAGCTTCCCATCCCTCCAAACCTTGAAGGCCTCCACAAAGCGTGCGGCCGCCCGATGTCTTTGCTGCACATCATCCGATTCCTGGGGGCCGATGGCGGTCGTACTGCCAGGTTTCATGCAGTCGCCTTGGTGGTTTCATGTCAGCTATTGTGGGGATAGGGGTATGATGGGGATATAGACTTCAACAAGCAACAAAAACAGAAGATATGAACCAATAATCAGAGCCTGGTCGGTGATTAAGCCAGCCAAATACCCCTAAATGCATACCATCACCCAATGGTCCCGCTATTCTGCTGCCAAAGTTCGGATTGAGAAGCGGCAGGTGCGGCTTGGGACGCCTCAAGAAAGCAGCTTGAGGTGGTCATGGAAACGCAGCTGCACAGATTAGGTCATCTAACTATATATCTAACCGCTGACAATAAGATCAATGGGATCTTATAGCAAAATGGTGCTCATCAGAAGGTTTATGACTTGGGTTCATTAGATCCATGAACATTGCTCCTTTGCAGGGAGACTTAAGCCTATGGGCCTGGATTTGGCCACCCATGGCTGCACAATCCAAAAAGCCAGAACCCATCTGCCAAACATCCGCCAAGTGGGGCGTGTAATGAATCATGCCAAATAGGCCTGAACTTGGAAGGCAGTTGCAACCCGTCTTAAGTACGGATCATGGAACCCAAAACATGCTCAGTGAACTTAAAGATTTACTTCCTGGCAAAAATCATTCCCGCCCTGCCGCCGAATACCTGGCCTTCAAAGCTGACCTGCTTGGCCACAAGACATGACTCTCCATGGCACGTGGTGAGTTGCAATGTGCCGGTGATTATCATGACAGAATAGAACATGAACATCGCATATGAGAGCAGGCTGCGCTCTTTCAGGGCCAAGCAGTTGATGACAGTCAACTTACTATTCACGAATCCTTTGATCTGCTTAGTGGCCTCAACCCATCCGCAAAAAAATCAATCTGTTGGAATCATGATCCTATGTTCGAAAGTGTATAGAATCATGCTTCCATATTGTTCGGTCGGATGAAAACACTATTCAAAGCCACCAGCCAGTGCGGCTTGGCCCGACCAACATGTTCGGGTTGCTGGCCTCCAGGAATCTTCCACGGCCTCTGCCATCCAGGAATTTTGCCTGGACCTGGTGGGGGGAGATGTGGAACTCATTGGAGGCAAACCCTGTAATTTGCAAAAACCTAAGCCAAAAACCACCCCCCTTGTGGGTTGACCCATCATTCCCATCATGTTGGTTGAGCTGCTTCACACCCTGCGGAATATTACCGTTTGCCTGCCTTGAAGCGTCCAGTCCGGACATCTCCTGTCGTTGAACATAAGACGCGGTTTATGCATGCGACATTTTTGGGTCTTCAGGCCAACCCCTTGCTTGACAGCCCCACTGAGAAATGGTTTGTCTCAAAGTGGGAGAGAAAGCGTCAATTCCAGGCAATTTCAAAGGGGGACATGATTTGGATTTTGGGGGATCCCACATTTCGAGACGACCCTGAAAGCTAGACCGCCACCCCTTATATACCGCTCCATCCATGTTAGCAATTGTGGAGACTTGATTTGCGACTTCAAACCATCTGTAGATGTCCCACATTCTGGGACCCAACTGTCTAAAGAGGTATCCATTCCAAAACATCACCCAAAACTCCAGGTAGTAGTCCGTTTCATAAGGGGGGCCTTGGCACGTCAATACAACGACCCTACCCAATAACTACTGTAGGCATTGGTGGAATGAAGGTGTAACCGGCAAGACGCAAGTGGCACAGAGATAAATTCAAATCCGCAATCCACATCAAGTCACATCACAATATTTGCACAACACGAACACAACAAATTCTTGCACCTTTTTCATGATCACGCGCTGCTTGTGGCGCAGTGACTTCAAGCCTTTGAGTTGGTTTGAGGGGCCCGGGATAGCGCAGGACCTCGCAGTCCTTGTCTGGAATGAGTTCTTCATCTGCAAAGCGCCGCAGGTCGTCTGCCCATCCGCTGCCCTTAGTCCAAAGAGATTTACCTGCTTGATGGCGAATGTTTTTATCTACCGAAACTTGACCCGAGTACAATAGAAGCGGAAAAACGACCATTTTGGATGGCTTACCCATTGGACAATGGTGGTTTTCCACTTTGGTTCCATGTTTGACCAAAGCACCAACGGCCATCACTGGCAAGGTGAAGTCATTCCAGAATGCACAGCTTGGGATGATACACCAATGGACAATTCGGTTCTTTCTTGATATGGTTGTTTAAGTTGCTATAGGTGGCTGATAACCTCATCATAGGTTCATAAAGGCTGAACGTATATACAATAAGAATGATGAAAGAACAGCGTCATAATAACATGAATGGCAGTAACAAAACTAACACGAACGGCAATAGCAAAAACGCTAACACTCATTAATAATGAACAAGTTTCTTTCCATGGATCCTCCAGGCAATCGTTTCGCGCCCTATGCTCGGTCTCCAGGAGGAAGGTTGAAGGCAGCTCGCTGGGCTCTCTCTCCACGCTTTCCTGAGGCGCTCAGGAACTTGGTCCAACATTCAAAGGTTCTAAGGTGGGAATCGTGGGATCATCCAGTACTGGTGAAATCACACACTAGCAGTTTTTGATGGGGATATAATTTATCTCCCCAGCTATTGTTGGGGGGTGGCTGGCGTCTGAGCGCCCAATGGCATTCACAAACTTTCGAAGAAATCTGATATGGGCGTTCCCCTATCTGCCATGCAAACATATGCAAACCACCAGAAGCACAACGGACTGGGATGCGCCCTCCATTTTTGGCTGGGGATCTTTGCCCCGCGAGCCACGGGGATTACTCGAGCGTCGCAAATGGGAGAAAGCGGGACCATCGGAGCTGCTGCCTGCAGAGTGGGGGAGTTTTCTGCGTCAAGGGATCTTTTCGGAGGTCGAAATCTATGATTTTTTGCGCTGCCTTTTTGGGAATGTGTTGAAAAACGTTCGGAAAATCATCAAAATAATAGCTGGTTTTGATCACCCGAACCAAGCATTTGTTGGAACTTCAGTCTCGGATAGAATTTGACGTAGGCCCAAGTTTCCGCAATCAATCCTTGCAGTGCCTGGGTGGTTGGAGACACTCCATCTTGCATCATTTCTTCGGATCTCAGATGGGAAAAACGAGGTGTGATCCAGATAGGACGGGGGAAATACCATGGCAAATTCAGACCGGGGATGTTACATGAGGGAACGCAATGATTTTCCGAGATATTTTGGCAACCTTCTAAGACCCACGTCATACCCTTTGAACATGTTCGCTGCTTGTCCCATCAGCTCCCATCCTGGATATCTCCAGTTGTGTGTGAAATGTTCCAGGATGTGAGAAACCCACACGCGGACGCGCACGCACACGCCCACACACACACACATCAAACAAAGGCAGGTGGACATCTGAATGCTTCTCCAGCTCGTCTTCTCCTGGCTTTCTGAAAGGCGCTCGGTGGAATTCATCTTAATACCGCGGTGCTAGCCATGTACCATCTTTATCTCATGTTTATGATAGCTGGGTTAAACAAGAATGATAACTATCATCATTGGTTGCAAATGCTTGGGTGAATGATGAAAGGAAAGATGCCAGGAAACCACGTCTATTTCCAGAACCCATCAAATGTGCTATTTTCCTGGGCTGTTCAAGCTTCGTTTGCAACTCTAGCACCTGACCAACTCTTGACAGCAATTCCGCTGATTGATATTAAACTACTCAGCATTGCTCAACCTGTTTCAGTTTCCCATCCAATTAACCAATTATTTTCAACCATCCAGTTTCGATGAAAAACAGCTTCGGATAGCTTCAACTATTCAACCATGGTGGCAGTGGTTTTTAGCCAAGGTTCCGTCTGCTTCCTCAGCTTGTCTTCTGCTTTCCTCTTCATCCAGGGCCGTAATCTTCATCGAAGGCCTCTTGGTGACAGCCACCACTGCTGCACTGGCCTGATGGAACAATTTCCGCACCCTGGTGAGCATCCAGTGAAACTGCACGGAAAAACTAATGGACTTGAAAGCTTGAGCATGCCTTACCCCTTCTGGCTTTGGGGGGGTGTTTGGTTTGGATCCGTGCCCTTCTTTGAAATGTTTTTCCTTTCCCCTTCATGCTTATTGGAATCAATTTCGAGTAGCAAAGAAAAACATGATGCTATAGACCAGCTCATGATTCTGAAACCATGATTTCGGGAAGTCAGTGTGGCCGGAGGTGCTTCCCATATCACAGAGAAGGGGAATCTGTGGAAAACAGGTAGAACTGAACTGTCATCTGCGGAATTAGATGGAAAATCCAAAGCTTCAACAATATCTAAGATCACCTCCCATGACCACCTAAGAGGCACCGTCCTTCCCGTGGGATGAAACCTGTGGGCCTCGGATTCACTGGTTTCCTCCTCTGGAGTTGATGCATGTGGTACCTCTACCGCAGCAGCCAGGGTGAGTCCTGGCAGCTGGACGTGCTGGCTGCTTGCCTGAGGATGGTATGATTCCACACCAGGCTGGTCAAAGTGGGTTTCGCTTTCTTCTTCAATTTCAATTTCCTCTTGAACCTCTTCCAACTCTTCTTCCTGAGCCAGCCTTCTGGCTTGCTGTGCGGCCCCTTTCTGCTTTCTCACCAGTTCCTCCTCCTCAGCTTCTCTCTGAGCAACGTTCGGTTCTGCCTCTGCCCGCTGTGCGGCCTCTTTCTGCTTTCTCATCAATACCTCCTCAGCTTCCCTCTGAGCAGCGTGCGGTTCCCCGTCTGCTCGCTTTCTGGCAAGCTCTGCTTCCTCAACTTGTTTCTTAGCTTGCAGTTCCGCCTCAGATCGCTTCCTGGCAAGCTCCTCTTCCTCAGCTTGTCTCTTTGCTTCCAGTTCCGCCTCAGCTCGCTTCCTGGCGCGCTCCTCTTCCTCAGCTTGTCTCTTAGCTTCCAGTTCCGCCTCAGCTCTCTTTCTGGCGAGCTTCTCTTCCTCAGCTTGTCTCTTAGCTTCCAATTCTGCCTCAGCTCGCTTTCTGGCGCGCTCCTCTTCCTCAGCTTGTCTCTTAGCTTCCAATTCTGCCTCTGCTCGCTTTCTGGCGCGCTCCTCTTCCTCCGCTTGTCTCTTTGCTTGCAATTCTGCCTCAGCTTGCCTTCTTGCGAGCTCCTCTTCCTCCGCTTGTCTCTTAGCTTCCATTTCCGCCTGTGCTCGCTTTCTGGCGAGCTCCTCTTGCTCAGCTTGTCTCTTTGCCAACAATTCTGCCTCCGCTCGCTTTCTGGCAAGCTCCTCTTGCTCAGCTTGTCTCTTTGCCTCCAGTTCTGCTTCCGCTCGCTTTCTCGCGAGATCCTCTTCCTCCGCTTGTCTCTTAGCTTCCAGTTCTGCTTCTGCCCGCCTTCTGGCGAGCTCCTCTTCCTCCGCTTGTCTTTTTGCTTCCAGTTCCGCCTGCGCTCGCTTTCTGGCGAGCTCCTCTTCCTCAGCTTGTCTCTTTGCTTCCAGTTCCGCCTGCGCTCGCTTTCTGGCGAGCTCCTCTTCCTCAGCTTGTCTCTTAGCTCTCAGTTCAGCCTGGTCGGATGCAAAGTATCAGCAACTTTGCAAAATTGTCAGGCGCAGAAACAAACTGAATTGAATGCGAATCAACATATACCACACCATGCAACTTGTACCTCGGATAATTCGAGAAATTATTTGTCTGAACAGTTTGGGTGTGTCGAACTAGCCACGGCAGTGGTGACATGAACCAATTTGCCATTGATCCCACCTGAACCTCTGGGGTGCCATTGCTAGAGCTTTCACTCTCGCTGCTATCCATCAAACGCACCTCGCAGCATGTTCAATCCTCGCCAAGAATTTCCTGTGTATATCATGAACGCTCCCACCTACCAGAAGCAAACAAACTCCGATCAAAAACTTCACCTACAGATCGAAGAGCAAGGACGCCGCGAGAGCCCCCACCCCCCAAGTACGACCTCCACAGTAGGTCCAGCTGTCCTGCTGCCGGGGTAAGATAGTATTGATAGTCTAAATCTAACAATGTTGGAACACCTGCATGTGACATCCATGCATTTCCCGAATTCCATAGGTGAACCAGCCATGGATCCCATTACCATGTCGAGCTTTCCAGGTGCTTAGCCGCCCATGGGCTCCTGACTTCAGCCGGTGGATCACTGACTGAGGGGGCTGCCTGACCAGACAGAATGATGGTAGAAGGTTGCATCACATGCGCCAAAGCAGCCAAAAGCAAATTGCATCAAGCAAATTGCATCCAAAACTGATGACGAAGACGACGAGGAGGAGGAGGATGATGATGACGATGGTCATTATTGTAATGCCTGTATCTTTTCATTGTTTTTTGGTAACATCAGCGAGTCCAACCTCCACATCCTCCAATTCCTCCAGCCGCAAATCAAAGCCATCTCCGCGCTGGCAGCCCTGTTGATCTGCTGCACCGGAGCTCCTGCGAGTGACACCACTGCAACTTCCCAAAACTTCACGGATGGCTCAACCAAAGCATGTTAAAGCACAAACATCTGGAGATTGAACATCTTGAACATCAGCACTGCAAAACTCTTTAGGTCTGAAACTTAAATGTCCGCTTCTGTTGGTTCAAATTTCATGTTTTTTGGGCGGGGTGCTGCTTCAAAGCCCCATTTGTGCTGCCTTCAATTCCATGACTGTCGACCTTGATAAGTAGTACTCGGGCAAGCCGTTTCAAAAATTGAAACGCTCATAACCTATAGAGCGGAATAAAGACTGTGCCTATAGGGTGCCCGCTTCTGTGCTTCGCAACAACAAGCTCATGACTTGTCATTCCTGTGCCATCATCTTTTTTTATGAAGATCCTTTTGCATTTTCATCCGGCCTCAGGTCCTCTCAATTCGTGTCATCTCATTTCATCTTAGCCAATAACATAGACCCGAGAAAGCCGGCGGCGGAAGTTTCCCAAACATAAATGACCTATAGTTCAAAGACACCCTGTCCCGACCGTGTCCTTCCCTCGACACTCCACACCTCACACTGCACACTGCACTCTTCGCACTCCAAACTTCAAACTTCACACTCCACACTTCACACTCCACACTTCTCACTTCTCACTGCTTCCTTCACACTCCAAACCTCACACTTCACACTTCACACTGCACACTTCACACTTCACAGTCCACACTTCACACTTCACACTTCACAATCCACACTTCACACTTCACACTTCACAGTCCACACTTCACACTTCACAGTCCACACTTCACACTTCGTACTTCACAGTCTTCACACTTCACACTTCACAGTCCACACTTCTCACTTCGCATTTCACACTTCACACTCCACATTTCACACTTCTCACTTCTCACTGCTTCCTTCACACTCCAAACTTCACACTTCACACTTCTCACTTCGCACTTCACACTCCACACTTCTCACTTCTCACTGCTTCCTTCACACTCCTAACTTCACACTTCTCACTTCGCACTTCACACTCCACACTTCACACTCCACACTTCACACTTCTCACTTCTCACTGCTTCCTTCCCACTCCAAACTTCACACTCCAAAACTCACACTTCACACTTCTCACTTCGCACTTCGCACTCCACACTTCACTCACACTTCACACTTCACAGTCCACACTTCACACTTCTCACTGCTTCCTTCACACTCCAAACCTCACACTTCACACTTCACACTTCACGCGCGCTCTTCGCACTCCACACTTCACAGTCCACACTTCACACTTCTCACTTCACACTTCTCACTTCTCACTGCTTCCTTCACACTCCAAACTTCACACTTCTCACTTCGCACTTCACACTCCACACTTCACAGTCCACACTTCACACTTCTCACTTCTCACTGCTTCCTTCCCACTCCAACCTTCACACTCCAAACTTCACACTTCACACTTCTCACTTCGCACTTCACACTCCACACTTCACTCACACTTCACACTTCACAGTCCACACTTCACACTTCTCACTGCTTCCTTCACACTCCAAACCTCACACTTCACACTTCACACTTCACGCTGCGCTCTTCGCACTCCACACTTCACAGTCCACACTTCACACTTCTCACTTCACACTTCTCACTTCTCACTGCTTCCTTCACACTCCAAACTTCACACTTCTCACTTCGCACTTCACACTCCACACTTCACAGTCCACACTTCACACTTCTCACTTCTCACTGCTTCCTTCCCACTCCAAACTTCACACTCCAAACTTCACACTTCACACTTCTCACTTCGCACTTCACACTCCACACTTCACTCACACTTCACACTTCAGTCCACACTTCACACTTCTCACTGCTTCCTTCACACTCCAAACCTCACGCTTCACACTTCACACTTCACACTGCGCTCTTCGCACTCCACACTGCACAGTCCACACTTCACACTTCTCACTTCACACTTCTCACTTCTCACTGCTTCCTTCACACTCCAAACTTCACCCTTCTCACTTCGCACTTCACACTCCACACTTCACAGTCCACACTTCACACTTCTCACTTCTCACTGCTTCCTTCCCACTCCAAACTTCACACTCCAAACTTCACACTTCACCCTTCTCACTTCGCACTTCACACTCCACACTTCACTCACACTTCACACTTCACAGTCCACACTTCACACTTCTCACTGCTTCCTTCACACTCCAAACCTCACACTTCACACTTCACACTGCGCTCTTCGCACTTCACACTCCGCACTTCACACTTCACAGTTCACACTTCTCACTTCCCACTGCTTCCTTCACACTTCACACTTCTCACTTCGCACTTCACACTCCACACTTCACACTTCACACTTCACAGTCCACACTTCACACTTCACCGTCCACACTTCACACTCCACACTGCTGCTTCCCTTCCCACTCAAACTTCACACTCCAAACCACACTTCACATTCTCACTTCGCACTTCAACCTCCACACTTCACTCACACTTTCCACTTCACAGTCCACACTTCACACTTCTCCGGCTTCCTTCACACTCCAAACCTCACACTTCACACTCACACTGGGCGCTCTTCGCACTCCAAACTTAAACTTTCCCACTCCACAACCTCACACTTCTCACTTCCCACTGCTTCCTTCAAAAACACTGTGCACTTCACACTGCACTCTTCACGCCCCACACTTCACACTGCTCTAAACCTACGTGCAACAAAAAAACACTAGCGCCAAAATGGAGAAAATCTGCTAACAAATCCATGTCGCAGCCTTCATGCAGCCACTCCAAGACGATGTACGAGATCCAGCTGCAAAAGACATTACGCATGCAGCCACAGCAAGAAGCAACCTTGACGCAGCCATTCCAATGCGATCTGCGGAGACTGAGTTGCAAAACACAATAGAACTACGCGCAACGGCGTCGGAAATTGTAGCTCCAAAACCGGATCTCGACGCCAGAGCGAAAAAAAGACGATTTTGAAGCACTTTTTAAAATGATTTTTAGAAGGAAATTCACTAGCGCCAAAATGAAGAAAATCTGCTGACAAATCACTGTGGCAGCCTTCATGCAGCCACTCCAATACGATTTACGAAGTCCAGCTGCAAAAGACAATAGTATGACAAATGCAGCCACAGCACGAAGCAACCTTGACGCAGCCATTACAATGCGATCTGCAGAGACTGAGTTGCAAAACACAATAGAACTACGCGCAACGGCGTCAGAAATTGTAGCTCCAAAACCGGATCTCGACGCCAGAGCGAAAAAAAGACGATTTTGAAGCACTTTTAAAAAGGATTTTTAGAAGGAAAATCACTAGCGCCAAAATGGAGAAAATCTGCTGACAA